TGGCTTTCCTCTTGTGCTCATGACTCCATTATTTTTGTTTGTTTGTTTGTTTGGCTTCCTTACCCTCTACTCCTTCCCATCCATCCCCTAACTGGGAAAACAAACAAACAAACAAACAAACAAAGCCCTCATAACAAATAAGCATAGTCAGGCAAAACAAAACACATTGGACATTTCTGAAAATCTATTCTTGTTCTGCACACTGGGTACATCCCCTCTCTTTCAGGAGGCAGGTATCGTTCTTCATCTTAAGTCCTTTGGAATCATGGTTGGTCATTGCATTGATCAGAGTGCTTGAATCTTTCAAAGTTGCTTTTCTTTTTAATGTTACTGTTGTATAAATGTTCTCCTTATTCTGCTCACTTTACTCTCATTCATTCATGCATCTTTGGGTTTTTTTCATAGTTTATTAGTTTTATTTTTCAAGTAACAAGTACTTTTTAATTAATTTGTCCCTCTTACTACACCTCCTCCCCAAAATAAGCAAATTTGTTTAACCTGAAAATCAAATCCCTCAATAGATAGCAGCCACATAGTCTGGCGCAACAAATTCCCACATTAACCGTGTCCAAAAGTTTTAAGTTGCTCACCTCACTGTCAAGAGATAAGTGTTGATGTTTCATCTTCATTCTTTCGGACTCATTTATCATTGTGTTAATCAACTTTCTAAAGTCTTTCAAAGATGTTTTTCTCTATAATGTTATCATTATATAAATTGTTCTGTTTCTACTCAATTCACTGTGCATCATTTCATGAAGGTCTTGCCAGTTTCCTATGAAACTGTTCATTTCGTCATTTCTTAATGGTATGCTAATATTCCATTACATTCATGTACCAAAATTTGTTTAGCCATTTCCCAATGGGGGACACTCACTTAGTTTCCAATTTGTAGCTACCATGAGAAGAAAAAAAGCTACTATAAATATTTTTGCACATATGGATTCTTTTCCTGTTTCTTTGATTTCTTTGGGGGTATAGACCTAGTAGTGGTATAGCTGGAATAAAGAGAACACACAGTTTGGTAACCTTCTGGGAATTGTTCCAAATTGCTTTCCAGAATGACTGGACTAGGTCACAGCTCCACTGTGAACTGATTATTAAAGAAATGCAAATGAAAGGAATTCTGAGGTTCCACTCCACACCTATCAGATTAGCAAAGATGATGAAAGAGGAAAATGACAAATGTCGGAGGGGCTATGGGAAATAGGGACACTAGCAGTACAATGAAGGACAACAGTCTGATGACGAGGAGGTACAGATGCTCCAGTAGGTGCTATAAATGAAAATGAAAATGGAAGGTTTGGAGTGAATGGAGCTCTCCTCTTCTACACTTTCCAATTCTCCCTCTCCCCCATAGTCCTTTCCTAGGCAATTCAAAGGATTTCAGCAGAGTGAGAGTCAAAATGGAAGCATGGATTGACTAAGGGTTTGCCAAACCCTTGATTCCAGCTTAAGGAGGAGTTGGAAAGGGGTGGACAAGATCATGTTCAAAGGTGCAGGTGAGGAGAAAATAATTATCGCTTCCTTTCATTTTTTCCTTCAAGATAGCACCCCCTAGTGGTTACATTAAGATAGAGTGGTCACCTCCCCAGAAGATAGATTCCCATCATCTCCATTTCAGCAATGAGCTCTTCCTTATTGGTCAGAATAAGGCTTAGAATAAGAGTTGCCTTTGTTGCTTCCTCCACTTTTAGAAGGATGAAATTATTATTAAGGCAAGACAAAAAAAATTAAGCTACTTGACTTTCGTCAGAGAAAGAGTGCTAACAAATACCCAGACAATAAGAGCTAGCATTTATTTAGTCCTTTAAGTTTGCAAATGCTCTACATGTGTTTTCTCTTTCAGTCCTTACAACTACCCAGCAAGGTAGGTGCTATTATTATCCCCATTTTACAGATGAGGAAACTGAGGCTGAGAGAAGTTAAAGGACTTGTTCAGGGTCACACACCCAGTAAGTATTTGAGATGAGATTTGAACTCAGGCTTTCCTGATTCCAAGCCCAACACTTAGCACTGTGCTACCTACACCTCAATAATGTAATTCATTCCCAGGCACTAGCAATCAATCAATTAACAAGCGTTTATTAACCACCTACTATGCATCAGACACAGGAGTAGATACTGGGGGTGCAAAAACTGAAAGGCAAAAGTGAAATCATTCCTGTCCTCTAGCAACAAATGCAGATAGATAGAGAGATGATAGATAGATAGATAGATAGAGAGATGATAGATAGATAGATAGATAGATAGATAGATAGATAGATAGATAGATAGATAGATAGAAGATGATTCAGGCACTAGCAGCTGGGGAGATGGGGCAAGGGTGGGGAAGGGAGGTGGCTGGAACTTCAAGAGAAAGTGATGCTTGAGTTCAGTCTTGAAGGAAACCAAAAGTTCTAATGAGCAGTGGTGAGGAGGCATTATAGCTATAGGGTACAGCCTATGCAAAGGGAAAGGAAGGGAAGAAACATTTATTAAGCCTACTATGTGCCAGGCTCTATGCTAAGCACTTTACAAATATTATCTCACTTGATGCTAACAACCCTAGGAATTAGGTGCTATTATTATACCCATTTTAGACTTGAGAAAACTGAGGCTGAGAGGTTAAAAGTCTTGTCAAGGGTCCCACAGCTACTAAGTGTCTGAAGCTGGATTTGACCTCAGGTGTTCCTGACTCTAGGCTCAGTGATCTGTGTACTATGACACCACCTAACCACCCCATTTGTGTAAAGGAACAAAGATAGAGATGGAATACCATGTGTGAGAAACATAAAGGTCAGTTCGACTTGACTTCCCATTCATGAAGGAGATTCATTTATAATGAGTTTGGAAAGGTATGGTAGGGCCGGGTGTCTTAAATGCCAAACAGAAGAGTTTATATTTGATCCTTGAGGCAATAGATAGCCCCTGGAGTTTATTGAGTATGACAGTGACATAGTCAGACCTGAACTTCAGAAAAATCACTTTGCAAATACACAGAGAATGGATTGGAATGGTCAGAGAGGCCAGTTAGAAGGTTATCGCGATAATCCAGGTGAGTGGTGATGAGGACCTAAGGTCATGAAAATGTAAGCAGAAAGAAGACAGGTACAAGAAATGTTTTGGAGATAGAAATAAGATTTGGCAACTGATTGGATATGTAGAGTGATTGAGAGTGAGAAACTGAGGATGATACCAAGGTCCCGAACCAGATGACTAGAAGGATGATCGTGCCTAGTAGATGCTTAATAAAAGTCTGCTGAATTGAATTGTTGTAATCATTGTTATTAAACCAGAGTCCTTTAGAATCTCAGAAGAACATTCTGGGGTCAATGAATCCAATCTGTAACTGAGCAAAAATCCCCCTCAGTCTCCCTGACAATTGGTCACATAGCTTCTATTTTAAGACCTCCAGAGATAGAGATCTGCTGAGGAAACCCATTCCATTCTGGGTTGCACTACTTGTCAGAAAGTTTTTCCTTATATTAAGGTCAAATCTTTTTACAGCTTCTATTCATTGCTCTTTGAGGTCAAATAGATTAAGCTCAATTCCTCTTCCAATATAACAGACCTTCAAGTACTTAAAAAAATTAATAATAAGAGCTAGCACAGGGGTATGGCCTGAAGGCCACATGTGGCCCTCTAGGTCCTCAAGTGCAGCCCTTTGAGTGAATCCAAACTTCCATAACAAATCCCCTTCATAAAAAGATTTGTTCTGTAAAATTTGGAATCAGTCAAAAGGCCGTACCCAAGGACGTAGAAGACCACATGTGGCCACAGGTTCCCCACCTCTGAGCTAGCATTCATATAGCCCTTTAAGTTTTGTGAAGTGTTTTATAAATATTATCTTATTTATTGGAAATTGAGGGGATGCCCATCAATTGGGGAATGGATGAACAAGTTGTAGTATATGAATGTAATGGAATATTATTGTGCTATGAGAAACAATAAACAAGTGAACTTCAGAAAAACTTGGAAAGACTTGTATGGACTGATGCTGAGTAAAGTGAGCAGAACCAGGAGAACGTTGTACACAGTAATAGCCATGTCATGCCATGACTAACTTTGATAGATTTAGCCCTTCTCAGCAATGCAAGGATCTAAGACATCTCCAAAAGTCTCATGATGGAAAATGCTATCCACATCCAAAGAAAGAATTATGGAGTTTGAATGCAGATCGAAGAATACTATTTGCTCTTTTTCCCCTTCTGTTTTGCTTTGTTTCTTCTTTCTTGTGGTTCCTGCTATTAGTTCAAATTCTTCTTTACAACATCACTAATATGAAAATATGTTTAATAGGAATGTATATGTAGAGTCTATATCAAATTGTATGCCGTCTTGGGGAGGGAGGTGAGGAGAGAGGGGGAGAAAAGTTAAAACTCAAAAGCTTATGGAAGTGATTGTTGGAAACTAAAAATATATTAATTTTAAAAAAAATAAATATTAACTTATTCAATCCCCACAACAACCCTGTGAGTTAGGTGTTGTTATTATCCCATTTGATGAAGCATTTGATGAGATGCTGAGGCTAAGAGAGTAATTTTTTCAGGAGCACATAAGCTAGTATCTGAGGCAGTATTAGAACTTAGGTCTTCTTGATTTCAAGTCCAAAACTCTGAAGATAGCCTTTATGTTTCTTTTTCTTGTCAGTTTTCTCTCATCCAGGTTAAACACTTCTAGTTCTTTGAAAATTCCCATCAGGCAGGGATGGATAAAAAGAGAAATCTAAAAGCAATGGGACACATATGCAGGACTTATTACCTCCCAAGTTCCTGGCACAGTCCTGATTCCAGGACCTTTCTTATTCCCTGGGATTCTTAATAGGGATCAGACACATGGCCTACTCTGGCCATCTCTTATAGCCCCTAAGCAAAAGCCTTCCCTTTTCTGTATTGATCCTAGCGTGGACAGTGAGCTGTCTCAGAAATTCCTTCCCTGTGAGTTCCAGATTCTTAACCGACTTCTGTCTGTGAGGTCACACTGATGGGATGTGCTCTGATTGGCCATGAGGCATACAGCCTCCCAGTGTGGATATCCCTTGGCTATGGGCAGACATTGGATTATTCCCCTTTGGTCTTCCATACTTCTATTTTGCTATTGTGGGCAGTCCCTCTCACTGTTCAGCATGGGGAGAGCTGAGAATTCAAGTAGGACTAAGGAGCAGGAGGGCTGGATAGGGGGTCAAAGGGAAGGTCTGAGCAGGACTCTCTCCCGAGGCAATGGGGTGTAATGGAAAGAGCACTGGTCAGAAGTTCTAGGTTCTAGTCTTGGTACTGCCACTAACTTGGTGAATAACTTTAGGCAAGCTACACCCATTTCCTGGGCCTCAGTTTCTGTCTCTGTAAAATTAGCAGTTAGGGGGTGCAGTGGATAGAATGTCAGACCTGGAGTTAGAAGATTCATCTCCATGAGTTCATATCTGGCTTACTAGATGTGTGACCCTGGGCAAGTCACTTAGCCCTGTTTGCCTCAGTTTCCTCATCTATAAAATGAGCCAGAGAAGGAAATGGCAAACCACTCCAGTATCTTTGCCAAAAAAAAAAAAACACCTCAAATGGGGCCATGAAGAGTTGGACGTGACAACAAAATGAGGCAATTGGACTAGATGATCTCAAAGGACTCTTCCTGTTCTGACCTATGATTCTATCATTCTTTCCTAGGAAATGATGCCCTAAGAAACATCACCAAAAATGAAACAAGAAATGAGTCAGCGGCAAATGAATTCATGAAAGAGTATGATCAGACAGCTCAAGCAGTGTGGAATGAGTACATATTGGCCCTTTGGCAATACAGCACCAACATCACTGAGTATAACCGCCAGAAGATGGTGGGCCCCTTTACCCCTGCCCTCCCCCAACACCAGGCTCTTCCCTTCTCTCCTCTTTATGGCATCCACTCCCAAATGTCTGTCCTATATTTTTACCCTTAATATCAATGTCCCAGTAAGTCTTTGGGTAATATACACTACTTGCTCCAGGGTATGCGGGAAAGGAAATACCTAGCCCCAAATCCTCTAGAATTGTTCCCCACTAAGTTTTCTCTTGTCCAGGTTTAAATGCCCCCAGTTCTTTGAGAATTTCCAAAGGTCTGAGATGATGAAAAGAGAAATCTAAAGGCAATGGGACACAGATGCAGGACTCACTACCTCCCAATCTCCCGGATTTTTTGAGAGCCAGTCTAGTGTGTAAAGTAGACTGGACTTGGAGTCAGGAAGATGTAGGTTCAAATCCGATCACCCTCAGATACTTAATAGCTGTGTGACTCTGGCCACTTAACATCCCTGGGCTTCAATCAGTTTCTTTATATGTAAAGTGAGGGAGTTGGACTCATGGCCTCTAAGGTTCCTTCCAACACTAAATCTATGTTCCATGTGCCCTTTTATTGTCTTCTCAGGCTTTCTAGGAGGGGACAGAGCATCCTGGGTGATGTGGCCTCTTACACTAGGATTAAGTATTCAAATGAGGGCACAACTCAAGCTTCTCAGGGCCTCTCTGGACTCTGAGACAAGAACCTGTAGCTTTTTTCCATCTGCCTGTGCATCCTGCATCTGAGTTCCCAGGTCCCCTTTCTAATCCAATCTATAATATTCCTAAACTGATCCTCCCAAAGCTGAGAATCCAGGCAGGGGAAGGACAAGAATAAGGAAAAAGCTAGTAGAAGTGAGGGTGGGGGCAGAGAGGAGGGAGAGAGGATGAAGTGTGTCTAGAGCTAAATTTGGGCACTGTGCTTTTTTCTCCAAGACCCCTTCTTCCCTTCAAAGCTCCCAGGGAGCTCCCCTTTCTTCTCTCCCATGAGACACCCTATGACCTCCTCCTTCCTGGACCCTCCCCAGCTGGAAAAGAACTTCGTGATGGATCAGCATACATCGTATTATGGCACAAAGGCTCACCACTTTAACACTACCAACTTTAGGAACCCACTACTGAAGCGCATCCTGTGGAAGCTGAGGAAAATGGAGAAGGCCAGCCTACCCAAGAATGACCTTAAGGAGGTGATAGGTTCAGGGCAAGGGCCACTATCCCCAGATTCTTTCTGGGCCTGTCCCTTCAATGCCAGGCTGTTGTGGAGCTCAGACCCTGTTGATGGTCTTCCCTGCCCAATAAAAGAATGAACAGGGCTCAGTGATAATCTATTGATGACTGGCTCTTTGGAAACAGACAGGTTGAGGGAGCCAAAGTGAAGAGTCTAAGAAAAGGGACAGGAAATTGGGAACCCAGAGAAGTTGAGAAAGACATAGGCCTATGAAGAGTGATTTCATTTCTGATATTATTCACATTGGTCACCTGAATGTGGGATAAGAAGGAATAGATGTGCAGGTGGCATCTGTGATGAGTATCCTTCCTCACTGCCTTTAGTTGTCACGGGGGGGGCGGGGGGAGGCAGCAAAAATTTGGCATTTGTAGGAAACTGTACCCTTCCTCTGAACCTTGGGACTGGGGTGGGGAGTGGGCAAAGGAGGAAGGAAGATGGCATAAAGGGTTCAAGTGATCATGAGTACATTCCTCTTGATGAGACATAGGGGAAGATTGGAAGTCGGAGGAGTAGGAGGCACATGTATTTGAGGGTAGAGAGTGTGAGATGGGGATGAAGAGCAAGGTGAATCCTGCTTGGAAGTAACATCTGTCCTATTCCTCCCACTTCCAGTACAATGAACTTCTAGCAGATATGGAGACAATCTACAATACGGCTGATGTGTGCTTAGAAGAGGGACCTTGCGTGATCCTAGAGCCTGGTGAGCCTAGGGACAAAGGCAGAGAGAGGCACAACTCTCCTGCCCTCCACTGGGTCCCTGTCCTCCTCCTGCTTCCTATCAATACACACTCTTCCACCTTCTTACTCTTCTGCTTCCTAATAGGGTGGATGGGGGAGGTGTAGACACTGCCTGAGAGGCATCACTGATCCTACCTTAACACCCAGGGTCTAGAAGAATAAGTACAGAAGGGAGTAGGAAGAGGGCATTATTGGCAGAGAGCCCAAGTATCCATGACATGATTGGGACTAGAGAGGAAAAAACTCTGGTGGCCTTCATCCTTACCCTCTAGTTCTTAACCTTTTTTTTTGTGCCGTGTACTCCTTTGGCAGACTAGTGAAGCATATGGACTCCTCATAATAAGGTTTTTAAATGCATAAAATGAAACTCATAGAATTACAAAGGTTAGTAAAAATAACTTTTCCTATCCAAATTCACGAACCCTCTGAAATCAATTAATAAGACCTTTGGGGATTCCATGGACTCCAGGTTAAGATCCTGTGCTCTAGTGTGTATTTGCTTACTACCTTGACACTACCTTTATGGGGCTTTTAGTCTTTGTCCTCATCTTATGTGAGCCTAGAGGGAGACTATGAGAAACTATGGAAATTCTGTGGATACTAGAGGGGAGGGCATAGCAGGGCAAGAAATGGAATGAGGAGTAGGGGGCCATTTCTTCCCAAAAGGCTTTGCCAGAGAAGGTTAGTGAGGTTGGGGTGGGAAGAGGGCTGTAGAACCTGGATCCCTGTCACAATCTCTTCCTCCCTGGGCTCAGATCTTACAGAGCTGATGGCTTCCTCCCGAAAGCAGGAGGAACTACTTTGGGCCTGGCAAGGTTGGCGGGATTCTGTGGGTCGGCAGCTTCGCCCCATCTGCAGTCAGTATGTGGAGCTCAGCAACAAGGCTGCCAGGCTCAGTGGTAAGTCAAATAGAACCTGAAACTCCCACAGTTCACCAGGGGCCCCTTGGATTCAATACTCCCCTAAGCCTCCTCAAAAATTCCTTGCTCGTTGAGGACATGGTTTCTCAGTGACCCCCTGCTCACTGAAGACATTGATCCCATAAAAGGGAAAGAAAGCTTAGAGATATGACCTAGAAGAGGGTGACCATAGCGGGAAGGAACCCTAGGGAGAGAATTCCAAGTTTCCTGATCTCCTTTCCCCGGGTCCAAGAGCTGGGGCAGGAGATAAGATGAGGATTATAGTATGCATTTATTACTTGATACTTTTCAAGGTTCTTTCCCATTGTTGTCCAATTGTTCAGTTGGGTCAAGCTTTTCATGACCCCATGGACCACAGCACACCAGGCCCTTCTATCCTCCATTATCTTTCAAAGTTCATGTTCATTGTTCCCATGACATTATCCATCCATCTCATTCTCCACCATCCCCTTTCCCTTCTGCTTTCAGTCTTTCCTAACATCAGGGTCTTTTCCACTGAGTCCTATTTTTCCATTATGTGGCCAAAGTAATTAAGCTTCAGCTTCAATAGACCTTCCAGTGAATAGCCTGAATTAGTTTAAGTACTGACTGATTTGATCTCCTTGTTGTCCAAGGGACTTTCAAAAGCTGTCTCCAGGGGTAGCTAGGTGGCACAGTAGATAGAGCTCTACCCTTAGAATCAGGAGGACCTGAGTTCAAATCTGACCTTACACACTTGACACTTACTAGCAGTGCGACCCTGGGCAAGTCACTTAACCCCGATTGCCTAATTAAAAAAAAAAAAAGTCTTCTCCAGCACCACTGTTCATAAGTGTCAATTCTGTGGTATTCAGCTTTCATTATAGTCCAACTCTCACAGCCACAGCCATACATTGCTACTGGAAAACCACAGCTTTGACTAATACAAATCTCTGTTGGCAAAATGATGTCTCTGCTTTTTAGTATGATGTCCAGATTTGTCATAGCTTTCCTTCCAAGGAGCAAGCATCTTTTAATTTCATGGCTGCCATCACCATCAGCAGTGATATTTGAGCCCAAGAATATAAAATCTGACACTTCTTCCATTTCTCCTCCCTCTATTTGCCAGGAAGTCATGGGGCCATTTGCTAAGATCTTAGGGTTGGTTTTTTTTAATGTTAAGTTTCAAGCCAGCTTTTACACTCTCCTCTTTCACCCTCATCAAAAGGCTCCTTAACTCTCCTTCACTTTCTGCCATCTGAGTGGTATGGTCTGCAGACATCGTCTGAGGTTGTTGACATTTCTCCCAGCAACTTTAATTCCAGCTTTTGATTCATCCAGTCTGGCATTTTGCAAGATATATTCTGAATATGTTAAATAAGGTGACATATCCAGCCTTGTTGTACTCCTTTTCCAATCTAAAAACCAATCGATTGTTCCATGTTCAGTTCTAACTGTTGCTTCTTGGCCCACGTACAAATTCCTCAGGAGACAAGTAAGATGATCCAGAACTTCCATCTCTTTGAGAACTTGCCACACTTTGTTGTGATCCACCCAACCAGGCAAAAGATTTAGTGTAGTCAATGAAGCAGTTGTGGTTGTTTGTTTGTTTGTTTTTTCCTGGAACTCCCCTGCTTTCTCCATAATCCTGAGAATGATTTGGTCTCTAGTTTCGCTGCCTCTTTGAAAACTATCCTGCTCTTATGTTAATTCTTGATTCACATATTGCTAAAGCCTAGCTTGTAGAATGTTAAGCATAACTTTGCTGGTATGTGAAATGAGTGCAAATGTTTGATCATTTGAACATTCTTTGGCATTACCCTTCTTTAGGATTGGAATACAAACTGGTCTTTTCCAATCTAGTTGCCACTGTTGTGTTTCCCAAATTTGTTGACATATTGAGTGCAAGACTTCAATAACATCATCTTTTAGGATTTTAAATAACTCAGCTGGAATTCTGTCACTTCCACTAGCTTTATTGTTAGCGATGCTTCCTAAGGCCCACCTGACTTCATACTCCAGGATGTCTAGCTCTAGATCAGTAACCATGCCATGGATGGTTAAGGGGCCTAGAAGAAATGTCAGGAACCTTTGACCTGAGCTTCTCTTTTCTCTTCCCATCTTTTCTATGCCAGGTCACGAGGATACAGGGGTCTTGTGGAGAGAGGTATATGAGTCACCCACCTTGGAGAAAGACCTTGAGAAGCTTTACCAAGAAATAGAGCTACTCTACCTAAACCTACATGCTTATGTGCGCCGAGCTCTTACAATTACTATGGGTCTCAACTCATTAGCCTAAAAGGGCCCATTCCTGCCCACTTATTCGATAAGTTGAGGATAGGAGCAAGGGCAAAGGAATCTGAAGAGAGAGCCAGAAAAATTTAAAAAGAGAGGGTACTGGGATGGAGAGTCACACAGGAACAAGGACCTGAGGCTGGTGAATAAATAGAGGTTATCAGAGAGAAGATAGACAATGTGGAATAGTGGAAAGAATACTAGATTTGACATCAGTGATTCTGGATTTGAAATCTGACTCCACTACTTACTGCATTTGTGACCTTGGGCAAGTCACTTATCTGTACCTAAGTTTCCTCATCTTTAAAATGAAGAGGTCGGACTAAATCACAGGTTCTGGCATAAACCTTTTTTGGCTCATGGACCCCTCTAGGAGTCTGGTGAAGCTTGTGGACCTCTTCTTGGAATGATGTTTTTAAACGCATAAAATAAAATACATAGGATTACAAATGAAACCAATTATATTGAAATACAGTTAGAAAAATATTTTTTAAAACAAGTTTACGGACTCCAAGCTAAGGACTCCTGGCACATGACTGTATGGTTCCTTCCAACTCTGATATTCTCTGATCCTATCTCAGGTATTTGGGATCAAAACTGGTGTTGAGGAGGGTTAGAAAGACCAGGTAATGGAAATTGAGGGGATGCCTATCAATTGGGAAATGGCTGAACAAGTTATGGTATATGATTGTGATGGAATACTATTGTGCTATAAGAAATGACAAGCAGGATGATTTCAGAAAAATCTGGAAAGACTTACATGAACTGATGCAAAGTGAAGTAAACAGAACCAGGAGAATATTGTACACAATAACAGCAGTACCGTACAGTGATCAACTGTTGACTCAGCTATTCTCAGCAATATAATGATCCAAGACAATTCCAAAGGAATTGGAATGAAAAATGTTTATGAAATATTGAATGAAAAATATTATCTACCTCCAGAGAAAGAACTGATAGAGTCTAGATGCAGACCAAAACATATGTTTTTTAAAACTTTATTTTTCTTGGGGTTTTTTTTTTGGTCTGTGTTTTCTTTCACAACATGACTAATATGGAAATATGTTTTCATGACTGCATATATGTGTGTGTGTGTGTGTGTGTGTGTATATATATATATATATATATATATATATATGTACACAAGAGAGAGAGAATTGCTTGCCTTCTCAATGAGGTTGGAAGGGAGGGACAGAGACATTTTGGAATTCAAAATTTTAAAGAAACAAATGTTGAAAATTTACATGTAATTAGAAAAAAATTAAATATTTAAAAGAAAAAGAAAGAAAGAAAGACCAGGTAAGAGTGACCAAAAAGGTTGGGTAGCAGTGGGGGAGAGAAAGGACCTTGTGCTCCTTTTCTTTCCCTGAGGGTAAATAGAAGCACATTTCTCTCCCCATCCCTTATTATTTCCTTCCTTTCACCTTCAGTGTTATATTTGGCCCTGCTGCTGCACCTCCAAGGGAACATGTGGGCTCAGTACTGGACCAACATCATTGACCTAGTCACACCCTTTCCTTCATCCACCAGAATGGATGCCACCATGGCCATGAGGAGCCAGGTCAGTATTTGATTTGACTTTGTGTCCCCTGCTTTGATCTCTAACTCTATTAAGCTACCTCTCACACTCTCCCTTTTCTAGACTGTCCCAGTGAATGGAGAAGGGATAAGTTCTTTGTTGCCCTCAAAAGCTGGAGAGGGCAATAACCCATATTTCCTTTCTGGACTTATAGCATTGGACATCCTTTAAGATGTTTGAGGAGGCTGACAAATTCTTCCAGTCTCTGGGGCTGCTCCCTGTTCTCCCTGAATTCTGGGAAAAATCAATGCTGGAGAAGCCACAGGATGGAAGAGATGTGGCATGCCAAGCCTCTGCTTGAGACTTCTATGATGGCAAGGACTTCAGGTGCTCATGGAAGAGGGTGGTACTTAGAGTTCAAAGAACAATGGTGTGTGTGCCAGCCTGGTTCTGGCATCAGAAAGGTCTCTGTCTCTGTCTCTCTGTGTCTCTTTCTCTCTGTCTCTTTTTCTCTGTCCCTCTCTTTCTTTTTCTCTCTTTCACCCTCTCTCTCTCTCCCTCTCTCTCTCTCTCTCTCTCTCTCTCTCTCTCTCTCTCTCTCTCTTTCTGTCTGTCTCTCTCACACATCTTTTTGATAATTTAATTCAGTCATCTAAGCAATGAAAGGCAGTTAAGTGCAGTGGCAAAAACACTGGATTTATAGTCAAGAGATTTGGGTTCTAGTTCGCCATGTGACTTTAAGCAAGTCACTTCCTCTTTTGAAACCTCAGTTTCCCATCTATAACATAAAAAATAGACGAGGTAAACTCTACCATCCCTCCCAGCCCCAATAGTCTATGATTATGTAATATCAAGAACAGAGACTCCACAGTCTCTGTATCCATTTCTTATTTAGTCACCCAACCTAACATTTTAGTACCTTTGGGTTGAGGGTTGAGAAGCTTTTCTCTCTGAAGGATGGAAATCTCTGCTGCTTTAATAAAACATCATTTACTTTCATGAAGGCATTGTGATTCTAGGTGGAACTAATTGGTATTCCCCTCATAAAAACTCTCCATAGATTAAATGAATGCAAGAAACACTTTCTTTTTAGAATTAACTCTATGCAGAGCCCAGTGGAGAATACAAAGAAGTGTAAGATATGATTATTGAGTTTACAGCCAATTTGAAGAAGCGAGATATAAGGACACCACAGTTACTGTAAGATGGCATTCATACAAGAGGCATTACAAGACAGTACATGGTAAATTGTCAAATGAATTATACAGATGGTAAGTGACATAAGTTGAGAAGCACAATAAATACCACGAGATTAGAGAAGAGAGAAATCCCTGGGTTGGACTATTTGTAGGAGGCTTCATGGAGGAAGAGGGCTTGAGCTGGATCTTAAAGGATGGGTAACACTCTGGTTCCTAGGTGGTACAGTGGATTCTGGAATCAGGAAGACTCATCTTTCTGAGTTCAAATCTAGCTCCAACACTCACTAGTTGTGTGACTTTGGACAAGTCACTTAGCCCTGTTTGCCTCCATTTCCTCACCTGTAAACTGAGCTGAAGAAGGAAATGGCAAACCACTCCACTATCTTTGCCAAGAAAACTCAAATGGGATCACAAAGAGTTGGACATGACTGAAAACGACTCCACAACAATAACAAAGTCTTAAAGGAAAAAATGAAGTTACTCACTTACATTTGGGACTTATAGCTGGAAGAGACTTTAAAGCCATTTAGTTCAGTCCCTTACTGGGAAGAAATTCACTCAAGTCACCCAGGTGGTAAAAGTGAAAGTCAGGGTTCCAACCCAGGTCTTCTGATTACAAATCCAGTGCTCTACTCACCATACCGTGTCCTATTTTCTCTTCTACATCGAATCAATCCTAGTCATTTTAACATTCCCACATTAGAAAGATTTGCATGGGCTCCCTCATCTCCAACTGAACCCTCACTTTCCTCTCTCCCTTTCCCTTTCATCTCAGGGTAAAGCTTTGCACCAAGGTGGACATGGAAGATCTATTGTCCATCTTCCATGAGATGGGCCATATCCAGTACTTCATGCAGTACAAGAATCTGTCCTTGGCACTCCGAGAAGGTGCCAACCCAGCCTTCCATGAGGCCATAGGGGATGTGGTGGCCCTCTCCGTCTCCACCTACAACTACCTTTACAACTCAGAGCTGACGGTTGCTGAAACAGAGGACTACGGTGACTGGGTTGTGGGTGGGATGGTTCCTCAGGAGGAGGTCTAGGAAGGGAGGCTGGTAGAGAATGGAAGCTGTAGGTCTTGGGTGAGAAGACAAAAGGGGCTCAAAAGCTTACTAGAAAGGGGCAGCAAGGTGACACAATGGGTAGAGCACCAGCTCTGGAGTCGGGAGGCCCTGCATTCAAATCCAGCCTCAGACATTTGACACTTAGTAGCTGTGTGACCCTAGGCAGGTCACTTAACCCCAATTGCCTTGCAACAAAACAAAACAAAAAAGCAAACGAAAAGCTTACTAGAGGAAACTAGGTGGAGAAAGGGAGAGCAATCATTCAGTCAAGTTCCCATTATGTGCAGACACTGTGCTGACCACTGGGGACACAAAAGGAGGCAAAAGACAGTCTCTACCCTCAAGGATCCTCAAGGAGTTTACAACCTAATGGAGAGAGACAGCATGTAAATAGATACATACACACACATATATACACATACACAAACATAAACACACACATGCATGTGTGTATATATATGCACATATATACATATATATGCATATATACATATACATACACATACACACACACACATACACACACACACACACACACACACACAAAAGCAAGCCACGTACAGGATACATAGGAAGTAATTAAAAGACGAAAAGCTCTGGAAGTAAGAAGTGTTAGAGAGGGCTTCATGTAGAAGGTGGGATGTTAGATAGGGTATGGCAGCTCAGACACTTGGTTTGGGGGTCCCTTCTAGGGCATTTGAACTCTCAACACCTCCCTGAAAAGTCAAAGTGATGAAAGCAGAAACTAGAAGACAAAGATGATATTGGGTTGTCCCTTTTGACAGTTTGTGGTCCTATGACTGAAGGAGGAAAGGTTCTAAGACTTTTAGAGCTGCTAAATCGGCTGAGCTCTGCTCTCTATCTACAGAAAGCGATATCAACTTCCTTATGAACATGGCATTGGAAAAGATTGCCTTCATCCCCTTCAGCTACCTGGTGGACCAGTTTCAATGGAAGGTGTTTGGTGGCCAAATCAGCAAGGAATTTTACAATCAGGAATGGTGGAATCTGAGGTCTGGGACTATTCTGATTTTTTGTACCTCAGGGACTTCTCCTGTGGGGGTGGTGATAGAGAAGCCTCTCAAGGTTTCCTCAGGGTAAGGTTAATTGCCCAAATACTAACAGCTGGTGTGCCCCCTGAGTCTCAGTCCAGAGTAGTCCTAGTATGAGTGTGGGAAAGTAAGTGCTATTATGATCCCCTTTTTATAGTTGAAGAAATTGAAGTAGAGAGAATTTAAGTGACTTGCCCAGGATCATGCAGCTGGTAAGTGTTTAAGGCAGGATTTGAACTCAGGCCTTCCTGAGTCCATGCCTGGTATTCTTATTCACTGCACCACCAGTGTAACTTTGGGCAAATCATTTCCCTTCAGTGGATCTCATTTTCCTCACCTGTAAATGAGAGGGTTAGACTCAATGGCTTCTGAGGCTCCTTCCATTTCCTACTATTCTTCTCTATTTGCTGTTCCAGTCCTGCCTTGTGAACCTCTTTCTAAGAAGCCAGTCTTCACTGGGACCCTTCTGCATAAGTAGGCCTCATTTTCTGCCTTAGGCTGTCACCTAGATTATGCAACAGTATAAAGAAAGGGTGGATTGTGGCAACATTAAATCTGTTCTGCTACTTCTCCACCATCAGCACTCATTTGAAGGGCACCTGAAATTTCTTCCCATGCCATTCCAAGTCATTCTGCTGGTAAGGCATGGCCTAAGTAGCAGGCTCTAGGGCCATGTTCCAACTGTGGACAAATAGTAAGCCAAAGAGAACGGCCCCACCTTTCTTAAGTCTTCAAACCACATAATTGACATGAGTGGAATGGGAAAAATACTGCATTTGGTGGGAATCAAGAGAGCTGGCTCTGATGCTAGCTGTATTGAGGGCATTCCAAATGGGAAATTATCTAAACAAGGGTAGAGAGGTAGGATGCATTATTGAATAAATCACTTTGGCCTGAGCATTCCAAATGGGAAATTATCTAAGCAAGGGTATAGAGGCAAGATGCATTATTGAATAAATCACTTTGGCCTGAGCAGAAGGTTTGGGAAGGAAGGGGCTGTGTATTAGTGGCAGATAAGGTTGGAAAGATACACTTAAACCTCTCTGAACCTCAGTTTCCTCATCTGTAAAATAAGGCTAATACTTGTGCTACCAACCACTTAGGTTTGTTAGGAGGGGGGGAAGCATTTTATAAACATGACATATGTTAAAAAATACAAACCAAAAAAGCAACTATGATTTCTTCAGCTCAGGGAACTCCTGGTATGGGAGATCTATCCACAGGCTGCAAACTTTCTATAATTTAATGGCTAAATGTGAGGGAATTTCCTGAGGAACAGAGATTAAATGACTTGTTACCCAGCTAGTAATTGTTAGAGGTGAGCTTTGAAGATGGTCTTTCTGATTCCAAATCCAGCACTCTATCTGTTATGCAGACAGTTCTGAAATGTTTTGGTCTCAGGACCCTTTTACCCTTCAAAAAGTTATTGAGGTTCCCCCCCCCACAAGAATTTTTGCTTATGTGGCTTATATCTATTAATGTTTGAAACTACATTAGAAGTTTAAAAATCTTGGTATTGTTATAAAAATAGTTTTGACCTCGCAGACTCCCTCAAAGGGTCTTGGGGATGTCAGGGAGTCAAAAGAACCATGTGATTTTTCCATTCTAAATATAAGATCTTATGAACCTACCTCTAGACTACTCCAACTGAAAGATCCTTAATTGGGAAGTTGGGATAATCAGGATTCTAGCTCTGGTTCTGCCACCAACCCTGGCGAGTTCCTCACAGCTCAGTCTTCCTATCTGTTAGGTGGGGGAGAATAATACCTACTGTTTGGGGGATCAAATGAAATAATAAAAGAATCAGGGAGGCATAGTGAATGGAGATAGAGACTCCCAGGAAAACGTTCACATTCCCACTTCTTACACACACTGGCTATGTGAGTCTCTAAACTTAGTCATAGTGTCTTCTTCTGTAAAATGACTATTATAGCACCTACTCACAGGGTTGTTGGGATCACCAAATGAGATAAAGTATGTAAAGTGTTTTGCAAAACTTAAAACATTTTTATAAGTGCTAGCTCTTATTATTAGCTTTCCAGTGTCCTAAGTGACCCTCTAATTCTCTAACTTTATAGATTACAGAGCCATAGTTGATCTTCATTGAGAATTTTTCCAACCAGGAATTCCCTATACCAACGAAAGCACAATATTGGAAAGAAAAAGAAAAAATTTATATACAATAGATATGAAATTACTTTGCATAGTCAAAAGCTGCTGCTGTCAACATAATCATTTGTTATATTGTCCCTTGCCAGGTTAAAATATCAGGGATTATGCCCACCAGTGCCAAGGTCAGAGGAAGACTTTGACCCAGGTTCTCAGTTCCACATTGCTGCCAACATACCTTATATCAGGTAAAGTTTTGGGTTCTGTACACAGGGCCCATAAATCAAAGATTCTGATTAGGCAAACTCCCATATGGTTCAAAGATAACAGGTTTGCTACTTCCCACTTCTTCTATTGGATACAAATCCCTTCTGAGAGAGGCCCTCCATGGAACCTCCTTTGCCTCTTGCAACTAAATCCTACCCTGAGATCCAATTTCACCTCAGATGGGCAGAGACAGCTCAGGACATCAGATGGGGCCCAGAAGGGGAAAGGCGCTCAAGAAGAAATCCTGAAGTGAACTAAAAATGGCTTTTCCTACTTCAGAATTTTGCCAATTCTTTCCTTGCTGTTTGGGAAGAGATCAGGGAGGTAGAGGGGAAATATGCGACCAGGAATCAGAGGAGGGGACAATGTCTGCACCAGGAAAGGACATTTTATAAAGCAACCAGAACCACACAAGGACATCACATTCAAAACTAGTTATCAAGTTTCAGGAAGGTCATTAAGGCCAACATCATCTCACCCTGGGGAAAGAGGAACAGCTTCTTGAATATACTAGCTGCGGAAAATTCTCTATACTTCCCCACGACTTCTCAGGTCAAGCTGATCCTAGAGCCAAAGAGCCCCATAGAGGTGCAGCCCACACTAGGAGCAGCAGACCTAGGAAGCTTACTCAGACACTTCTGATGAGCCTGGGCTAAATGGAGGCCATGATGGAGTTTACAGCCCTACTCAATCTCCCAGGAGTCTTCCAAGATATCACAGTAGGCTTCAGGATGGTCCCAGCTTCCAGAGCTTCTTCTTACCTTTTTCCTGCCCCCTTCTGTCTCCTTTGCTTAGGTACTTTATCAGCTATGTGATCCAGTTCCAATTCCATGAGGCCCTATGTCGAGCCTCAGGAAACTCAGGTCCCCTGCACAAATGTAATATCTATAGGTCCCAAGAGGCAGGAAAACTCCTAGGGTGAGTGTGCTCGCCTGCCTATTTTGATTCTCCAAGAAGCTCAAAGACATTCTCTGGAAGAGTTGTCCTAACCTTGGGCAGGTGGAAGGAATTTATTCACCTTGTAATCTCCTAAGAGTTATGTGACTTCATAACCATAGAAGGTGAACCTAAAGGGCCCTCAAGAGTATCTAGTCCAGCTTCTCATCTTATAGCCCAGGAAACTGAGTCAACAGGGTGGGGGAAATCACATTATCACTTATTAGTCATCATCCATAAACCCAAGCTCATCTTGGGCAGCTAGTTGGTATAGTTAAGACATAAACCCAGGTCTACTGGATCCCAGAACAGGGTCCTTTCCTATTTCCCTCAGTCATATTTACATGTAAAACACCTTTTAATATATCCTAAGATCATACCACCTACTTTTCTTCACAAGGAAGTTTCAGATAGTGGAAAAAAAAAAAAAGAAATTGAGTATAGTCAGTTCCCAGTCGATGATAATCTTCAGATTCACCTCTGCTTTCTTTGTCTCTAATCCAAAGCTCTCCCATCCTGTTATTTTAGTTGATTTTTTGTTGTTGTTGTTATTCTTAACTACTGGTCTAACTACTTACTGATCCTATTACTATTGAATTTTTTCTTGCTTTGGGTAATGATTTTTCCCTAATTCATCAAGGTGGCTTGGAATTGCATTCTTATCATGCAGGCATAGTAGTGGTAGTAACTATGCCCAATTGTGTTGTCTGCAAATTTGAGGGCAAAGTCAAGCTTGCTTCACGTGAGTTATCAAGAATGAATGGAAAAGAGCTCTGTTCTGGGAATCCTTGACTAACTGCTTGACCTTGGACAAATGTCTGGTGCTTGAAAGTAAACATTAAAGTAAATAGTAAAACTATTAAAACTATCCTTTTTCACAGGGAGGAAAGAAGGTTAGTACCTTCTAGTACTAGTACTTTCCTGGTATTAAGACTAGCAAATTCAGATCTCTTGCTGCTTTAATCTCTTTAATTCAAAGTTGCCATCTCCCAAGGTGAAAAATATCTTTTCTGTTACCAATCCGTGTACTCTCATGTCTATCCTATTGAAACTCACCACTGTGCCCTTCCTTCTTGCTGGACTGGAGCTCTGCTTTATCATTACAAACTCCCCTTCATCCTAGATCTCTACTTTTTATACTTTTTATTATTTTTCCATTTTATTTTTATTTTATTCTTTTCTCAATTACATGTAAACAAAAATTTTTCAACATTTGTTTTTTAAATTGACAAGTTCCAAATTCTTTCCCTCCCTCTGGGGAAGGCAAGCAATTAGGCATAGATTATAAATGTGCAGTCATACAAAACAATTCTGTATTAGTCATGTTGTAAAAGAAAACAGGACCCCAAAAAAAGAATAATAAAGTTTTTTTAAAGTATACTTCAATCTGCATTCATATGCCATCAGTTCTTTCTCTGTAGATGGATAGCATTTTCTTTTCATACTCTTTCTGTGCTGTAGCTGATGAAACTATGTGGCATAATGGATAGAGAGCACTGGGCCTGGAGTGAGGAAGGCCTAAATTCAAATGTAGCCTCAGACACTTATTAGCTGTGACCCTGGACAAGTCATCTAACTTCCATCTCTCTCAGTTTCTTCAAATGTAAAATGAGGATCATAACAGTACCTACCTCATAGAGTTGTTGTAAGGACCAAATGAGACTATATTTGTATTTTTTTTTTTTGGTTAGGCAATTGGGGTTAAGTGACTTGCCCAGACTCACACAGCTAATAAGTGTCAAGTATTTGGTCTGAGACTAGATTTGAACTCAGGTCCTCCTGACTTCAGGGCCGGTGCTCTATCCACTGTGCCCCCAAGACAATATTTGTGGAGTGCCTTGCACATAGTAGGTGCTTTATAAATGTTTATTCCCTTCTTCCTCATGTTCAAAGGATTTATACTCTCTCATGCCCTCCCTAAAATACAGTAGGTCAAGGGGAGAAGTAGGCATGCTCTGTGCTCTTCATTGACACTTCCAGATGTTCTTTCCACCATCATCACTTTCCTCCTCTGAAGTTTGTTGAGTTTGTCTAGATAACCCTATGCAGGTCCACTATCCTTCCAATCACCCAGGTTTATATTCTCCGAGTCTTCCTTGACTCTTCCATCTCATGTTCAGTCAATTTCCATATTTTGTTTGATAACCTCACTTGCAGACATCCTCTTCTCCTTGAACCTCTTCTCTTATAATTGATCTCCCTACTTCTATTTCCCTTATTAAATTCTTTATCCAAGAAGCTTCCAAAACAATTTTCCTAAGGCACAAGTTTAATGATGTCATTCAAAAACCTTCAAAGGCTCCCCAGTGCTTCAAGGATTGAATACAAACTTCTTAAACCCCTGTACCATATGGTTCCATCATGTTTCATACTATTCTCCATGAACTCTGTATTTCAGCCAAACTAGGCCATTCCCTGAATGCAATGCTCCATTTCTTATCTCTGTGTCCTTACATAGGCTACCCCCATGCCTAAAACGCACTCCCTATTTTACTCCGACTCTTCATGACACCATTTGGTGTTTTCTCGGCAGAGATACTAGAGTGGTTTGCCATTTCCTTCTCCGGTTCATTTTACAGATGAGAAAACTGAAGCAAACAGGGTTAAGTGACTCGCCCAAGGTCACACAGCTAATAAGTGTCTGAAACCCTAGATGGTGCAGTGGATAGAGCACCTGGCCTAGAATTCACCCAGCCCCAGATACTCCACAAAATGGAGATAATAATAGCACATATCTCTTGGGGTTGTTTTTGATAAGCAAGTGATATAATATTTGTGAATACTAGTGGTGATTATTTCTTTTTTGTGTTTGTATCTGCAGCACCAACACAGAGCCTTGAAAATACATGTTTATTAGATTTAATTGAATTCACTTTCCTTCTCTGCACCTCCATTTCCTCTCTCTAAAATGAACAGTTTAGACCAGATTGTATCAAAGGCTTCTTCCAGCTCCAATGGTCTATGGATATTTCCGGGCTCAATAAATTCGAACCCTAGGACTCCTCATGCCTGAGTTCTTTATTTCATTAACCTCTGCTCTTTTTCTATTCTTACCATTCTATTTTTGCTTGTTCTAAACAACAGTTCGCATCTGAGCTTTTCTGAGATTACAGAAATAAAGAAAACCTTATTTTTGCTCTGCCTTTTCACTTTTCATTTTAGAGAGAGGAAATGGAGGTGCAGAGAAGGAAAGTGAATTCAATTAAATCTAATAAACATTTATTTTCAAGGCTCTGTGTTGGTACTGCAGATACAAACACAAAAAAGAAATAATCACCACTAGTATTCACAAATACTAGTATGCTTCTCTTACTGATAAAGCAGCAGCTGGGTATGGTATAAAACAGGGGTAATACAAACACTACCTCACACATTGGTTGTGAGGAAGAAATGAGATAATGTCTATGAGGCATCTGACAAATCTTTTTTTTCCCTCTTTTTTTTGTTGCTTTTTGGTGAGGCAGTGGGGTTAAGTGACTTGCCCGGGGTCACACAGCTAGTGCCACGTGTCTGAGGCTGGATTTGAACTCAGGTCCTCCTGACTCCAAGGCTAGAGCTATCCACTGCACCACCTAGCTGCCCCGACAAATCTTAAAGTATTATGGAAACAATGAGCTCTCCCTGTCTATCGGAAGATTGAAGTTCGTGGCTTCTCTTATTTTATTAAATATATTTAAATAATAATAAATTATATTTAAATAATTTCTATATTTTATGTCCCAAAGTGTCCTATGCATCTTCTTTCTAGTATTGGCAGGCATCTCTACACTTGTCCCTAGACAATCAAGTTATTCCTTTAAGGATTGAGCCTCATTTCTGATCTTTTTGTCTTTCCCATTTGTCCTTAACTCACTGTTGCATTCTGGGTTTAGTTGGCTTGGCCTGTGGAGACTGTCTGGTCTTTCTTGTAGGTTATTTGTCATCCCACGGACAACTTTGTCTTTGAGCAGCTAATTTTCTTAGGCCCCTGTGCTTCCTGTGGTACAATAGAAGGATCACTAGAACTGGAAATTGAGGGGATGCTCATCAGTTGGGGAATGGCTGAATAAGTTGTGGTATATGATTATGATGGAATACTACCATGCTATAGGAAATGATGAGCAGGTTGACTTTTAGGAAAACATAGGAAGATTTGCAAGAAATAAAAAGGAGTGAAAATGAGCAGAACCAAGAGAACACCATATACAAGAACACCAATATTGTTCGAAAGAGTAAATGTGAATGACTTAACTATTCTGAGTTATGTGAATATTCAATCAACTACAAAGGACCTATGAAGGAAGATGCTAGCCACCTCCAGAGAAAGAAATAATTTACAGAACTACGTATTGTGTAGTTTAATGTTTGTATCTGCGTCAAATGTTGGCCTTCTCTAGTGTGGGGTTGGGAGGTTGGGAGGGAAACAGCTTGGAACTCAAATGTCACCAAAAATAATCAGAATAAAAATATATTTTAAAAAGAAAAAGAAAAAGAAAGGATCATTGGAATTGGAGCCAGAAGACCTAGACTCAAGTTCTAATTTTGATACTTATAAGGCAGGTGGACATGAGTGAGTCACATATTGTCTCCGAGCCTCATTTTCTTTACCTACAAAATAAGGAGACTTGGACTTGAACTACCTACCTTTTTATTCCCACTGGGTCCTTACTTCCTTAAATATTTAAAATTCAGGAAGCGATATGTAATCTTATAGACCTGGAAATTCCCTCCGACCTCTCCATGTCTTCTCATCGTTTATTTCATGTTCTTCCATAAATTTGTCATAGTGGGTCCACACAACAACCTTTCTCTTGACGTCTAGAAGATACTAGTGGCGTACTCAGTCTGCTCACTTGTTAGACCTCAAGCTTACCATATAACTATCCCATCTTTTTGGATCGTATGTTTCTTTCAGGACCACCTTACTCTAGGTCTTCAAAGTTCCCTATTTGTAGTATGCTGCAGATTGCTCTGTCTGCCAAGTATCTCTCCTTGCCCTCTGTGTGATAACCCATTTTTAATTTCTCAGGGACTATAATTATAGGATTATAGATCTAAATCTGGAAGAAACCTCAAAGACCATCAAGTTCAACTTCCTCATTTTACAATGAGGAATCTGGGGCCTAAAGACCCTATGGTCACATAGTAGTAACTGTCAGAGGAAGATTTGAACTCAAGTCATCTGACTCCAAATATATGTATTCCCTTATCTGGCAGCCATATAACAGCGATAGCAGAATATTAGTATTAAATGTTTCAAATATTTAAATAAATATTTGGTATTCAATATGTTTCTGGAAGAAGTGATTAAAGGAATTTTGCAATTTTATGATAGTCACCATAATAATTAAAGGCATCCTCAGTAAGGTAGTAAAGAACAGGCAAACTTCAACAAGTTATATCCTATAAGAGAACACACGTTTGCCATTATTCAATTGATGATATGATAATGATATGGTATGATGGTAACGATGGCATGGATAATGATAATGATGAAAGATATAAACAATAGTTGATTGATTTAAAGTTTATTTATTCATTATTAAGTATTATTAACTATTTAAGTTTATTTAAAGAGATATTACTGCACTTATTAATTATAACACATTTGTTTCAGTAGGTCAAAACACTTCCTTAAAGGTTCTCTTCAAACAAATTATCTCCCATCTTACCTACCTAATTCTGGCAAATTTCTCTTACCTAAAGTTACTAATATTTCCTCCTTTACTGATTTATCTCTTTTCCCTTCAGATTATAGAATTGTGAGAGTGGCATAGAATTATAGAATCTTTTTATCACTGAAAAATTCTGGAATCCAACTGCCTCATTTTATAAATGAGGAAGCAGAAGATCCCAAAGGAATAGTGACTTGAACAAAGTCACATAGCAGTTAGTAGTTGGAACAAAAGCCCAGGGTTCTCCATTTCCATTCTAGGACTCTTCCCACCATATCATCTTGCAAAGATCTTGAGGGGGCAGCTAGGTGGTGCAGTGGATAGAGTACTGGCTCTGGATTCAGGAGGACCTGAGTTCAAATCCAGCCTCAGAAACGTAACACTTGCTAGTTGTGTGACCCTGGGCAAGTCACTTAACCCCATTGTCCAACCAAAAAAAAAATCTTGAAAATAATTGTTTTCTGAAGCTTCCTCTGAGGTTTCTACCTTTCCACCTACCTTTTGATCCTCAATGAATTCTTTTCTATTAATAAAAGTCAAGCTGAGAAGGACATCTCACATATGTCAATTCTACTTCCAACAATGGAAAGGATTCCCAATGTTAAATCCACATCCTGCCTGGGGCTGTCATGAAAGTACAGTTACCCCTTCTACGTCATAGGAGCACATGCTCCACCATGATCTGGAAAATTCAAGTAAAATCTTTTGACCCTCCCTTCTCTACAGAGAAGAAATCTGATTTTTTTTTCTTTTGTGGGCTGTTTATAGCACCTTATTGTAAAATTTGGGTTAAGTATTTGGTCATAGGCTATATGTAGGTCAATGTTAAGCAAAAATACTTTCTTCTGTGTCATCTGCTGGCCTTCACATGTTGTTTATAGCTTCCACTAAACTCCCAAAATATTCTCATCTAATTTCTTATGCCAACCTGCAATAGATCAAAACCTCAATGGGGAAAGTCTCAATGTGGGAGGGATAACTGTACATTGAGAGTTGTAGGTCCTTGTGGACTCTTATAGATGAAGAAGTCTGAGCTTAGGGGCCTTACATATAGTAAGCACAATTAAAATGTTTTTTGAATTGAATTTAATCAGTAAACAAACATTTATTAAGCACATGCTTATTAAGGGATGAGGATAAAAATACGAACAATGAAACAATATCTACTCCTTTTTAAAAACAGGCTTTTTTCCCCCTTTTATTTCTTTTTCTTTTTTTTAAGGCAATTGGGGTTGAGTGACTTGCCCAGGGTCACACAGCTAGTAAGTGTCAAGTCTTTGGTCTGAGGCCGGCTTTTGAACTCTGACTTCAGGGCCAGTGCTCTATCCACTGAGCCACCTAGCTGCCCCAACAATATCTACTCTTAAAGCAATTACATTATGGGGTGGGCAGAAAATGAGTACATAGATAAATATATATTCAATAAATATACAGATGAAGAATAAATAAAAATGAATATGAAGTAGTTTAAGATAAGATAGTTTGGGATGAGCAAAAGCAATTGTAGGGCTCAAGAAAGGTTTCACATATTTACAAAGGTAAAGGAACACTTTTCGACTCACTGTACCCAGCAATATGTTGGTCATGAGAATAATAGTCCTTATATGCTTCCTCTTCATCATTGTTCTTTTCACCCTCCAGTCCAAAGAGCTAGACAGCCCACTCACTTCAGGGAGAGACCAGGTGGGAGAGTTGGAGTCAGGGAGCTGGGGAAAAGAGATATTGGCAAGCTAAGGGCCAGGACTATCCGGGCCAGAGTGTGAGGTGGAGTGGGGTGCACGCCGCTTGCTCTGGCATTACTGATGACAAGCCTGTTCCACACCAGGGACGTCATGAAACTTGGATTCAGCAAGCCATGGCCAGAAGCAATGAAGATGATCACTGGACAGTATAATATGTCAGCAAAATCACTCATGAAGTACTTTAAGCCCCTCCTGGACTGGCTCGTTGCTCAGAATGTGCGTCAGGAAGAGGTCCTGGGCTGGCCTGAGTTTAACTGCTTCATCTCTGATGATAATGGTACTACTACTATTACTATTACTACTTCTACAACTGCTGCTGCTGTTACTGCTACTACTACTAACTACTATTACTACTACTAGTACTACTACCACTACTACTACTGATACTAGTTAATATAGTACCTACTATTTGACAGGCCCTGTGCTAAGCACTTTACAAATATTATCGTGTTTCATCCTCAGGACAACCTTGAGAAGCAAGTGCTATTATCTCCATTTTTACAGATGAAGAAACTTAAGCAAACAGAGGTTAAGCGACTTGCCTAGGGTCAGACAGCTAGTGTCTGAGGATTGTTTTGAACTTAGGAAAATGAGTTTTCCTGACTCCAGGTCCAGTGTACTATCTACTCCACCATCTAACTAATTCTGGTCCAGCCAAGACTCTGCCCCTAATTTTGGGCCTCAATTCTGGCCCAAATTTCAACCCCATAATATATATTTATGTACATAGATTTACACACACATCAGAGGCAGCGAGGTAATGCAATCTACAGAGTGCTGGGTCTGGAGTCAGGAAGACTCATCTTCCCGAGTTCAAATCTGGCCTCAGACACTTATTAGCTGTGTGACCCTCAGCAAGTCGCTTAGCCCTGTTTACTTCAGTTTCTGCGTCTGTAAAATGAGCTGGAGAAGGAAATGGCAAACTACTCCAGTATCTTTGCCAAGAAAACCCCAAATGGGGTCACAAAGAGTTGGCGGTGACTGAAACGTCTGAACAATAACATACATGTAACATGTACATAATATGCATAAATGCATATGTGTATATATACACAATGCATATGCATATATGATACATATAAATATTTTATCTACTAAATATTTCTACAGTTAATGCATATTTTGTATTAAACATACTTAAATATGTTTTGTGTATTAAAATACTCTTGTATTTAATATATTTAAATATTTACATATATATACACACACAATGGGTTGGTACCAGTCCAAAACTAGAATATATATTTATATACATACACACATATGATGCATACATAAATATTTTATCTATACACTACTATATTTAGTATATATTTAGATATTAAATAAAACTTTATATTCTGTATATTTAAATATTATATATACATACATAGAATAGCTTGGTACTATTCTGAAATCAGAATATCTATTTATATTTGTATACACATACATTTTATATGTATATATGTGTGTGTGTGTGTGTGTGTGTGTGTGTGTGTGTATACATATATACGTAGGGAGTAGGTGCTTAATAGCTATAAGTATAATGAAGGGGGGGGAGGGGTCCTGACCATAGCATCCTCCTTCAGCAAGTGTCCTAGGAGGTACTCAAGAAACTCCCCCATACTACAACCAATCCATGTCCCACAGAGGCTAGTTAGGGAGAAGGAGGAGGGAGGAGGGCTTGATTTTTCCTTAGCACTTACCCTGGCTTTGCTGTGTTTTCTCTAGGGAAAAGAAAAGTGAGCTTCCTGTCTATGAAGATGGACTATGCTAATGCCATTGCTGGGCAGTGGGTGCTGCTGATCCTATGTCTGTTCCTAGTCTTGGTCATAGCAGTTCTGCTCTATAAGTTTCTATACGAGAGCAAGATGCCTGGTCCAAACAAGGAAGACGCGTTTCAGGGCATCCACATGAAGATCCAGAATGTTATCAGGAGTCATTACTTTCTCTTCGGTCTGATCCTGCTTATGCTGCTGTCTGTGATGATTCTAGTTGTCTTCATTCCTGAACAGCAAGAAAGCCTGGAAGACCAGCCTCTATCATTTACAAAGCAAAAAGTAGAGGCCTTCATCTTAGACACCAGAAACAAAGACCTGCCCCAGTGATGCAAACTGTATTTATATTTGGGTGCGGGGAGGGCAGAGATGAAAGGGTAAACTGGGGAGGGGGGCAGGGAGAAGGCAGATATAAGACCAAGAGTAGAGGTTGACTTCAGATTGTAGAGCTGTATCTATATTTGTGACTATATAGCTCTGGGTATGGTGGTGATTACGGATGGCTATGATTATGTGTGCTCATGTATTACTATGGGGACCATGACTGTGTGTGTCATTTTGTGTGTGATAGGTATGACGGGGTATGTATGAGACTATAGCTATGTACATATGTATGACTGTGATATGTGTGTGTGTGTGTGTGCGCACGCGCGCAAATGTACCCAAGGCCCCAAGCTTTATCTCCCAGTCTCCTTCGGGACCTCAGGTACCTCTGTTCTGATCACCTGATTGCTCTGTCCACCTCCCAACTCCATCTACCCCCAAAATTCCTAGGGTTAGGTCTTCAAGTCAGTCATACTTTCTATTCTCTTGAACCCCAGGAAACTGGCTGGAGGGGAGAGGAGGAGGGTAGTCCTGCATCAAAAAGGACATTGCTGATGCCCCTCTATTAAAAAAAAGTAAATATATTATTTACTTTATTGGCATAACATTTGTGTGCATTATAAATATCACAGTGCACTCACCAAATATATCCCTTCCTTTTTCCTGGCCTGAAAGCCCCTGCAGTATAGCAGAATACCATGTTAGGTGTCACCTAGATATATGTGGCTCCAGAAGTAGGGCTCACATCCCTTTCAACTCCCAAACCTCCTAGACCCCAAGTACTAAAGAGCCAAATCAAACCGGCGGAACCTAGGAAATTGAAGCCAGGGCCCAGATAATAAATGACTTATTTAATATTTAAATAGAGTTAATCTGTGGCCATTTCTGTCAAAAGATGGTTCTGATCAGCTCACCTTCCCCACCCCTCCTCCCCATCCTCTGGCCCCCATTCACATTCCCTGTTGTCCTGGGAAGAGAGAGATAAGCAAATATCTTTCCTGGTGTCTTATAAAAATTTTGTGAGGTGAGGGAGACTGGGGAAGGGTGGGGAGAGAGGCAAGGTTTGGAGAAGAAAGGGAAATGAAGTTGATAAAGGGATTTAGGAAACTTAAAAGGTAAGCTTTTTGAAGATATCCCTAGGCAGCAGCCCAGTCTTTTTCCAACTGCCCTCCAATAGCATGCTGAGAAAATCAAAAAGGAAATTTACCTTCAAGAATTTGGAAACCCTTAGGACAGCTTCTTCTTTCTGCCCCAGGCTCATCACTGTGGTCCTAATCCCTGACCTATTCCCCATGTTTCCAAACACAGACACCCTTTGCAAAGCAGAAAAATGAAACCGTTCTTCATTCTGCCCTCATACCTGCCCATTTGTTTGCAGGAAAAGCTGCTCTGAATTTCTTGCATCTCTGGATAAAAAGTGATGATGATGATGATGATGATGATGATAAAGTAACTAGTATTTATACAGCACTTTTAAGATTTGCAAGTGCTAGGGGCAGCTAGGTGGCGCAGTGGATAGAGCACCAGTCCTGAATTCAGAAGGACCTGAGTTCAAATCTGGCCTCAGACACATAACACTTACTAGCTGTGTGACCCTGGGCAAGTCACTTAACCCCATTGCCTAGCCAAAAAAAAAAACCAAAAAGATTTGCAAGTGCTACAAACACACACACATACACATACATACACACACACACACAATCATTTGATCTTCATAACTTGAGAAGGCAGCTAGGTGGTGCAATCAATAAAGCACAGAAGCCTAGAGTTAGGAAGACTCATCTTCCTAAATTCAAATCTGGTCTCAGACACTTCCTAGCTATGTGATGGTGGGCAAGTCACTGAACCCTATTTGCCTCAATTTCCTCATCTGTAAAGTGAGCTGGAGAAGGAAATAGCAAACCACTTCAGTATCTTTGCTAAGAAAACCCCAAATTGGGTCAGGAAGAACAGGACATGACTGAAATGAGAGTAGGTGCTATAATTGCCCTCATTTTACAAATGAGGAAACTGAGGTCAGGAGAAGTTAAGTGACACTTAAGTGGTCACATAGCTAGTAAGTATAGAATGACTCTGGGTCTCACCAGGCTCCTGAGGAGTTATGATACTGTTACTACCTGTTTAAGAAGACAGGGATAGTGGCATTATAACAGCAAGCTATCATCTATGGTACACAAATGAAGGTCAAACACACTTCTGACCCTCATCCCCAGTGGCTGATGTAAGAATGGAATGGGAGGTGGGACTCCCTCCACTTTGCTCTTCTCTAACAACAAAGATACAGAAAGGTAAGTGACAGCATCTGTTCACCTTTGGCTCTACACTCTCCTCTTCCATGGCTTCTCCTTCCGCTGCCCCCACAATACTTTCCCTTAGGAACAGGAGGGACTGGGTTGTCAGTCACCAGGTAATAACGGTTCCCCAAAGAATTGAATGCCTCCCCAAAGGAGGCAGAGGTTCACAAACTTTTTGGTCTCAGGATTCATTTACATTATTAAAAAATTCTTGAGGACCCCACAAAGAGCTTTTGTGCATGTGGGTTATATCAATATGTCTTGGTATTATTATGAAAATAACTTTGACCCTGTAGAACCCCTGCAAAGGTCTCAGGAACTCAGGAATTCTTGGACCACACTTTGAGAACTGCAGGAATAGGGGAATACTGGGGTAATGTCCACTAGTGGGCATTTTTTCTACCATCTTGTTACTAGTGTAATGGGAAAAGCACTGAATTCAGAGTCGAGACCTGAGTTTGAATCTTGGCTCTATTTTTATTACCTTTGTACCTCTGGCAAGTCATTTTACTTTCAAATGTTCAGCTTCCTCATTTGCAAAAAGAGGTAGGTTCGATAGACAATATGATATCTGAGCTCCTTTCCAGCTCTAAATCCCATGCTCCCATGATTTGTCTGATCAAAGAGGATGAGGTGGCAGCAGAAGAAAAGGGACTGAAGCCCAGAGATTGAATCAGAGTGAAGTAGCCCCCTATATCACGCATGGCCAGCAAGCTACGTGATACCCAAGACACTCCCAAGCTAGGGCTAAACCAGATTAAAATGTAATTGAGAAATATTTAACAAAATAAAAATATAATAAAACATAGATAATATTACATTTTAAAATAGTCTATATGCATCCCACCAGGATCCTTATGTATGGATTAGTGACCCCATTCCTATGAGTTGGATACCACTACTCTACATTTGTCTATGGCCTCCCAAAGATTCCTTACTCTCCTTCCCCTCACTCTCCATTCCCAGTTACCCTCTCTAGTCCAGAGCTCCATTTCTCAAATCTGTACTCCTACAAAAACCTCCTATTAGAGTTGGGACCTTAGAAATAATTTAGCCCATTCTCTCCCCACCCTATTTTATACGTGAGGATCTTTGCCTCCTTTCCCTCTCACCATTGCTTTCCCCAAATACAATCTTCATTACTTTATCTCCTATCTTAAGAATCAATGCTTCCACCCAGCAATACTACTTCTAGGGCTGTATCCCAAAGAGATCATAAAAATTGGAAAAGGACCCACATGTACAAAGACATTTATAGCAGCTCTTTCTGTGGTGGCAAAGACTTGGAAGTTGAGGGTGTGCCAATCAATTGGGGAATGGCTGAACAAGTTGTGGTATATTAATATAATGGAATACTATTGTGCTATAAGAAATGATGAGAAAGAGGACTTCAGAGAAACCTGAGAAGACATGCATGGACTGATGCTGAGTGAAGTTAACAGAACCAGAGGAACATTGTACACAGTAACAGCCACATTGTGGGATGGCTAACTTTGACAGACTTAGCTCTTCTCAGCAATGCAAGGATATAAGACATCTCCAAAAGGCTCATGATGGAAAATGCTATTCACATTCAGAGAAAGAACAATGGAGTCTGAATGCAGATCAAAGCATACTATTTGTTCTTTTTTTCCCCTCTGTTTTGTTTTGTTTCTTCTTTCTTGTGGTTCCTCCTATTGGTTATAGTTCTTTTTTACGACATGGCTAATGTGAAAATATGTTTATTAGGAATGTATATGTAGAGCCTATATCAGAGTGCATGCCATCTTGGGAGGTAGGTGGGAAGGGAGGAAGAGAAAATTTTAAAAAGCTTATGGAAGTGAAAGTTTAAAACTAAAATAAATTAATTATTTTTTTAAAAAAAGAAGTATTGGTATCTGGGCATGAAGGGTCAATTAAAATGCATTTGTTATCCTTCTTTCCCCTAAATAAACAAAATCATGGCACATAAAAAAAGAACCAATACTTCCATATTGCTGATAATATCAGCTCTAAGTGCAATCTGATGTAGCGGGTGTCTCTGCAGCACTATTTCATCCCTGTAGTGAGCGGAGACATTCCCACAGAGGGAAGCAGAATCCTTAGATAAAATCCTGAAGTAAAATTGCCCTAATCTTCTCTAAGACAGAGAGGGAACAGGGAAGTGAAGAGCTCTGTGTAAAAGCATATAAGTCTGGGAGAATCTTAGCACTTAGCACAGTGTTTGGTACATAGTAGGTGCTTAATAAATGCTTTTTCATTGATTTTGAGAAGCAACAACTGGGAGATATTGAAAATCTCATCCACTGTTGAGATGGAGTAGAGGACAGATCCTTCTCGCTTGCTTCCCTTGCTTCTTTTTGGTACCCCAAAAAGGGTTCCAGACTTGCAATCCCTTCCTTAATCCTTTCCATGACCTGCGGGTTTGGATCTTATCCCCCAGAATCCCGAAGACCCAGGAGGCCATGTGGAAGGACTTTCAAGAGATGGTTGTAGGGCTTCATGTAGAAGTACTTAACATTTTCCCTTTTATTTACGTTATGTTCAATAAACCATGTGACCACAGTATAAGTAAATGTAGGGGGTCATTTGACAAAAGATTCCGGGTGTAAGATGGGGCTACAACCATCAAGTTCCTATTTTAATCACTGAAAGCACATATTTCACATAATCCCCTAGTTTACATGACTTGGCTGACTAGCATTCCATTTAATGCTGTGGAAATGCAGGGAGGTCGGGGGAAAGAGAAGGAGGAAACGAGATGAGTACAAGCGGTTGCAGGCTCAGTGATCTCTAGTGGCCAATGGGGAGCCTCTTGGGAGACTACAATGCATTGACCAAAAAATGAACTGAAGGGGCTACTGGGCTAGTAGCACTACCGGGTAAACAATTTACATATTACATTCTGTGACTAATCAGCAGAACACAGAGGGCCTTTCTATGGGGTTAAGGAAAGAAGCACACTAGCTAATTTGGACCAGTTGTACTGCAGTGCTTCTATGACAGTACCCTAGGTGTTTCATGGTGTAGCATATTGTTATTGTTTGTCCTTCGTTCTCAAAAACGACCATGACATCAGGAAGGTGACACTATGACTTGCAAGTGAATTGGATTTAAATGGGGGGGGGGGCTGTGCAAAGTCATCAGCCTCACTTTC